GTCTACAAGTACTCAGTTGGAGCCACAGAAGGAGGAAGACAGGCGGGATCTGATCCAGCTCCCACCTCACGAGGGGCTGAAGTCAGCCTTTTCCACCTCCCCGTGAGAAACAGCAGCCTTGGGACAATGGGAAGAGAGGTCTGGCAGAGAGGACTACTGATAAAAGTCTCGGGTCTGCGGAGACCTGGATCAACATCCAAACCTCTTAGTAGCCTGGCCTAAACATTAGCTAACAACTTCTAGCGGCAAGAAGAAAGTGGAGGTAGCCCTTTTTCAAGAGTGGCACATATACCCAATTCTGCAGTAAACACAGTAGTGCTGAAGAAATGTCAGCTTGACTTTTGTCCAAGTTGGCAGGGACAGGAGTGCTGATGTGCTTCCCGTTAGACAATCCGAAGGGCCCTGGGCTGAGGTGTACCACGGCGGCGGGAACTGACTACCGCCATTCCTCAAAAGACACGCCTACCTGGTGCCCATTCCTTTGCAGCTTTTGGTGCTGTTACAAGACTTAAATGCTACCATGCAGGGTCCAGGAAAATAGTAAGGGTAAAAAAGCCTACAAGATGGTGAGCTTTGGGTCCTGTCCTCATGCACTCATACAACTGCCTAATTATAAAATACCATCCTGTGTATTTTCCAGTGTTTTGTGCCATCTCATCACTCAACTGGAACATTCTTGGGTATTTTTAAGCCAAGGCGTATGCCTCCTTGAGTGAGCTTATTCAGGTTTTTGCAAGTTGAAACATTCTTTTAGAACTTCTTACAAGTAATATCAAATATTACGACATAGGCAAAAGAGAATAACAGGTTCTTGCGTTTTTCTAGTGTAATTTCCCATCTGACTCCATACACTCAGTTTTCTCTCCTACTGGTCAGTCAATTTGTGGATCCTTCCCTAGCAGTAGAGAAGAAAAACAACAAAACAAAACCACCTTCAAGGAAGACTACCTGCTTAACCACGACAACAAAAATCTAGCAAAGGCAAAAAAGGATTAAAAACAACAACAAAAAAACCCCAAACCTATATAACCCCACAGCTTTGCTTATTTTTCATGATCACCTTCTTTAAGCTATAAGATAGCTTTGATTTGAAATATATGCATGTACATATTAATATTCACTTTCTGAGACACATTACCTTCTTGTAATATGTCCTAACAGATACGGGGAAAAGGTTGCAAAAGTTGAGTAGCTGGAGGCTTACACACAGAAGAACAGCACTGATCAGAACACTAAGGGGGTTTTTTGGGGGTAAATGATAATCTGCAGCCTTGCAAAGCCATACTGTTTACTCCATCAATACAGTCATCTTCTTTCCCCATAAACTGTGCCCCATTAAACTAATTTCACTAGAAAAAAGTTTAATTAGACAGAGTAGTCATCAACCATTCGACAAGCTGCTGCAAAACAGCTTTGCAATATTCGCGTCGCAGGATTACTGTGCAAGGAGGACTCTGGACTAGACCCTGCAGACAGTTAAGCCCGAGTAATTTGCACACAAGTAAATAGTCCAGTCGAGTCGCAGAATGAAGTTATAGATGTGGACAAGTGCTTGCAGGGCAGTCCCAAGGAAATGCTCCCGTAGAGCCATGCACGCTCACAGCAGTCTAGTTAATAAAAACAACAAAAAAAAAAGGCACCAATTTCTATTTTATTACTCCGGTTATATTTTCTTGGACCTGACCTGTACTGAACACCTGCATGGAGGTATATAAACCAGTCAGATACCACCCGAGACGGGCAACAGAGACCGTACAGAAATCGCGTGGTCAGCCCCAGTTCTGGAAGCGGGAAACCCCACGTTACGCCATGCGGGCAACTGCAGCAGGCGCTGCAGGCAAGAGGGAACAAACACGCTAGGTATTTTCTTGGGTCAAGAGCTTGGTCTTTGGCCCTTCTTTTAAGCACCAGTGTCACACCTTTTCCGTGCTTGTTACACATCCCATTTCTTACAGCTTTTGATTGAAGATTAACAAAACTTTCAAAAATAAAAACAGAGGGAAGTGAATTTAATATTCTAGTTTAGCATCCAAAGTACTCTGTTCACAGGCTGTTTTTCCTTTTTTTAGGCCAACGTGGTACTACCATAGAGCAATTAACAGAAATCAGCTCCAGGCTTCGAGGGCTTCCTCGCTCCCAAGCGTCAGCGATTTTCCAGCTTGAAGCAAGGGAGCGAAGCCACCCGGCGTTAGCAGGGAGCACAGCAGCGGCTGGAAGGCCGGCCGGGAAGGCTAGCGCCTGACCGCCAGCTCTCCGGCAGCTAACCCGCAGCGTGGAAAGACACCGACTGCGCAGCCTGGGAATCTGCCTGAAACCCAGAAGGAGAGCCGAAGGGTAGGGCTTGCTTTTATTCAAAAGTAAGCGTGCAATACTGCTGCTCTCCTCCTCACCGCCAAGGTCTGATCCGGCAGGGTGCTGGGCTCTCGGCACGTTCAGCTCCTCAGTGGTATCTGTAAGCGCCACATGCTTTACAGGAGCAGGCCTCAGCTGGCAGGCTGATAGCCCCAAGAGACACCAAGTATCTGACTACAGGGAGTTTATTAATTACAAGTTTTTGGAACTTCTTCATACACGCTAACGTAGATCATCTCCTGCCAGTTACCCCAAGAGAGCCTTCAAGGCACCCTTAAGTGCTATCAGGCAACGCTCTGCTCCTCCGAGGACCCTTCCAGCTGTACAGACCTGTACATCAACAGCTTAATGACCGTCAGCTCCTATTTCCAAGTCGCCGTTAAAGCCAAGCCGATACACCAACACTGAATGAGGCCAGGCAGGGCAGACCTGCCGGAGGTGTCCGCGGCAGTCGTGCAGGCGGGGGTGAAAGCCTGCACCCCACCTGATGCGCAGCACGGGCAGGGCTCCTCGCTTGCAACCAGCGTGGCAGAGGGGTAGGACGAAATTTGGTTGTTTTTTTTTTTTAACGAAGCATCATCCTTTTAAAACTGCCAGAAACTGGTCCCATAAACCCAACCGAGCACCTGCTGCTTACGCCTTCAGCTTCGTAACTCCTCACGCCCGGGGTCTTGCCTGGCAGCCTTACGGGCCCGGGAAGACAACACCCACCCAGCTGGGACTCCCGCAAGCGCTGCCTTTGGCCGAGGGCGGCCCGGACAGCAGGCCCCGGCGGCCCCCAGCCCCGGCGGCACGGCGTTACGGC